GGATTAACTCGAGGTTCAAGAAGGTGCCATCTGGGCGACCTTTAAAAGCTGAAAAAAGTAAAATTAAAAAAAGAATTCATAATCTTAACCATAATATTATTAAAAATCAAATGAATGCTACTTATCACGGCAGATCATCATAAAATTGGATTAATTATTAATTACCTACCAAATTATTAAAATTAAGTTTCATTTGTTTATATATATTTTATGCTGAACTGTAAATTTCAATTTTATTTGTTTATTATTCTCATTATTTAAACTATTTTTATTTATCATTATTAAATCAAAAGGTTCAAAAAAATTAATTTATAATAAATGTATAATCTTTAAAAATACTTTAGCTAGGTGGGTATTATAAATTATAACATTATTAAGTGTTTATTCCACATAATTTTCTTGGATTTTCGTTTTCTGAATAAAAATAATAATTCATAACTTCAGATATTTATTATTACCAACCTTAATAATAATAAAATATACCTAATATTTTGAATGTCCAATTTTAAGACAGAAATTACCACAGTATAATTACTTGTTAGTTATATCACTGAATATCATAAATAATAAAAATTAATACAATATAATATTCATATTAATAGGACTTGTAACAGTAATTTTAATTTTAACTATATGAAATGAAAAACATATAGATATTTAAATTATTTTACAATGATTGTATCTAAGTTCTAAATATCAAATACTGAAATTTAAGCTGTACCTAGTAGGAATTATTAATTAACAAAAATAAACAATATTGCAGCAGATTAATCAAAACAATTAGGACATTTTTATAAGAAACTCAAAGGTCACATTAGACCCCATACCCTCATTGAAATGTGTAACAAACATTAATCATTAAGTTATTGCAAATACAAAATTAAATTATATCAATGAGCAAATAAATTGGGTAGATAATGAAAAAACTGTATATTTTTAACACATGCTTCTGGAAACTGGATTTATTCTAAAAATGTAAGGAAGCCACTGGTTTTGATGTCATGATTATTTTTACCAATCATAGTAAGTTAAATACATAATGTAGGTGTATATAAATTATATATATTACAATATATAGTAATATAACTGCAGTCTGCATTGAATTGATAAGATAATCAATAATAACTATTATAATATGATATATGAAAAAGCGCGGCAATTTGAAATCGACCAATAAGAGCGCCGTATTTGAAACCCGCACTGTGACGTCTAGGGTTTCTTATATCGCTCACGGTCATCAGAAACCACAGAATAGTGATGACTTTTTAAAAGATTTTGTTTCAGAAGCTGTTTTCCTTACATCTGATGGTATTTATATTAATAATATAAAGAAAAATGTTGTAATAGAAGTGATATGTTGTGATGCACCTGCGAAGGCCTTCCTCATGAAAGTTAAAAGTCATTCAGGGTTTTCTTCTTGTACGCGCTGTACAATTGAAGGTGAATATCAACAAACCCGTGTTTGTTTTCCTTACTTAGAAAATGGTAGCACTATTAGAACGCATGATGACCATAGACAAATGAAACATGAAGAACATGAAATACATCCATTACAATTTCAAGTATTTGTTCAATTTTAAATGTAGATATAGTTCAATCATTTTCAATGGATTATATGCATTTAGTGTGCCTAGGTGTTATGCGTAAATTAATTCATTTATGGATGGGTAAAACTAAAGGACCCATGAATGTACGAATACCCAGCTGGAAAATAAATCAAATAAACAATGCACTTAATAATATCAAAATAAACAGTATAACAAAAGGTTTCTCTCGCAAACCACGAGCGCTTGTAGAAATAAACCGCTGGAAAGCAACTGAGCTTCGTCAGTTTTTACTATATACTGGTATGGTTGTATTAAAATATGTATTAGCTGATGATTGTTATCAAAACTTTTTAATACTTTCTATCAGTATGAGAATTCTTTTAAGCCCCAATCATAAAAAATTTGTTAACTATGCTCAAAAGTTACTAGACCATTTTGTCAAAACATTTGAGCAGTTGTATGGATCACACTTAGTTTCTCACAACGTACACGGGTTATTACACTTAACTGAAGACTATAAAAGATATGGACCATTGGACAACTGCAGTACTTTCCCGTTTGAGAACTATATGAAGAATCTTAAAAGAATGCTTCGTAAGCATGATAAACCGCTACAACAAGTTCTTAAACGGTACGAAGAACAATGCCCTAGTAATACCAATGATCAAAATGAAACTAAAAACAAACTAAATTTGACTTCAAAAAAGCCTGATTGCTATATTTTAACCAAAGAAGGTGATGTGGTTAAAATTGATTTAATTATTAAATCAAACGATAATAATTTAGAGGTTATTACTGGACGAATGTACTTGATCAAGGACGACCTATTTGAAACTCCGCTGCAATCATCTAAAATCAAAATTTTTCTGGTCAATAATCTTTCGGAAAATACAAAAGAGTGGAAAATATCAGATATAAAAAATAAATTATTGTTCTTTGAATATGAAAACCAACAAAATATAACAATGCCTATTTTGCATGATTTATAGAGTTATAATGTATGGTAAATAAAATTGATATAATTATTATAATTTAAATATTAACAAATATTAGTACTCATTTAAATTATTTTATCCTTTATTTAGATATATAATACAAGTATTATGTGGTATAAAATTTATTTTAATATAGATTATAGATATTCATTATTTCTATATTGAATGTATGCTGTATATATTTCTTTATTATTAGATATCTTTTTAAAAAAATGGACGGATTAATTTTAAAGTTCAGATGCATATACGTCAAGGGCGATCAGAAAAAACAAGTTCTCATGGAGTATATACCACACGTCGCACTCATCAACATTGAAGATTTAGGCTGCCCTCGTTTGGAACAAATATGCGATGACGAAACTCTACCTTGTTGTATTTTTCATATGGAATTTAATCCTAAACAATGTACATTTTATAAAGTTTTTGCTATAAGAAAATGGTTTATAAAGAATTCTTAAAAATAAAACATGATAATATTTTAACATTGTTTTTTTTTTTTTATTTTACATTGGTAACCTTTATAGATTAAAAATATATAGATTACAAAATATACATAGTATTTACAAAATATATATACATGATATGTATAAATTAAAAATATAACAAAATATATATGGTATTTACAAAATATATGGTATTTACAAAATATATACATGATATTTATAAATTAAAAATATGAGAAAATATAACAAAATATATATATATGGTATTTACAAATTAAATATACATGGTATTTATAATTATTTCAATATT